GTGAAAAATGTTACAATAATAGCGGTGTCAAGGGAAAACCTTCCTTTTGACATCCTGTTTTTCTTTTCTTTTGGTGGGAGGAAGTTTTTTTTTTTTTTTTTCGGTTACGTAGATCCAAGTTTACCAGTCGCCTTGTAAATTCAACTTGAACATCGAGGATCTCAGAAATTATTTTGGGATCGATTTTTTTTTTTTTTCAAAAAAGTGCCTTTGTTCCGGCAAGAATTCTTCAATTGTCTATTTCAAGTTCAGAGATTTTAACTCCATTCTTTAAACAACTTTTTTTAAAAAAATTGCTCCAGCTAAGATATATAAAACTCAAAAGCGTATGCAAATGCTGTATAGCAATAAATTAAATAAGTTTAAATATTTTATGCAAGGTTTTGAAACAAACCTGTTGAAACCTGTTCTACTACATCTTCACCAGATTCGAATCCAAGAACGTGGAAGGTATTTCCGGTACCCCGTTTTAAACGAGAAAATTCGTTTAATTACAAAATTAGTGATCCCAATAGGGTTGATTTTTTGGTGGCGATAATTTTTTACAGGTCAATCTGTTATGTGGCTTGTAGCAGCAGTGAAAGAACTTGCGCAGTATCGAAATTGTTTCATCCTTCATTACACCAAATGACTGGCAGTGACACCGGAGGGTCATTGGAGTTCATGCCTTTTCCAAATCTACGAATTGACTCTCACACTCAGCATCTGTAATATGAAAACGCAGCAAAGAAATATCAATATTTATAGACAAACAAAAAAATACTGCATCTGCAGAAGTCATTCTTTCGTTTATAATACTGTAGTCAGTATCATATCATTCTAGATCTGGAGCCATTCTTGTGGCAAATGCTGTGGGTACATGACTGCCTCAGCATGGAGTAGTTTTAACGAAATTTTTTTACAGAGCGCCCCTCTCTACTAGATTTAAATGAAAATTTCAGTACATATTCATTAATTATTTACTTTTTATAATGAATAGTTTGTTTTATTTTTTAAAAAATCTGAGAAAATGTTATTCTTTTTTAATAATAACCAATATTTTCATGACTAAATTTTACTCGAAAAAAAAATGTTTAAACCGCAAATTTTTACATTTCCATAAAGATTAATTGTTGACATCTCCAAAAAAAAAAAAACTTTTTACAAAGATTCCAACACAACACAAACGGGATTGTCTTAAAAATTTGTTTTTAAAAAAGTATTTCAGTTTTCAGGAAAATTTTTCATTGTTGAAATCTTTAAAATTTTTATTTTTAAGCGATTTTTTTCGGTTTTATCTTTCTAGAAAAAAAAAAAACTAGAAATTTTATTTTAATTTTTAGCCGTGGACTTCTGTTAGTATTAGTAAAAAAAAAAAAAATCAGAGATCCTCCTTAGTGGACGATCTCCGAATAAGAAATGATTTTACCGAAATATATTACCCTTTTAATTGATTTAAAAGAACTGTTCAGGAAGAAAATTACAATTTAAAAAATAAGCGCTACTGAAATTAGCACTTTGCCCCCCACCTCCCAGTAGGCATGGGGGATCCCACGCAGTTGAGAGGTTCGGGGTAGTAAGCACTGGCCCTGTCGATTATTATAGTTGATGATTGACAATATAACTTAGGTAAAAAAAAGTAAAAAAAAAAAAAAAAAAAATGCTGCTGAAACTAGCAATTTTGGGGTTCCAACCTCGTCGGGGTTCCTGTAGTATGCACCGCACCGGCCATGCAGATACACGATGTATATTATTAGTTGATGACTGACAATGTAACGTCAGTTTAAAAAATTAAAAAAAAATGGTGGATGGTCATAAACAGTGCTGAAAAAAAAAAGCACTGCAGCCACAAATAGGAAACATGGATCAACCAATGATCAGAAAGATTCAACTTCATTTGTCAATCTCTTAGTTTCAAAATACAAAAAATTTTATTTCTCATAATTATCATGTTAGAAAATGCAGAAAAATATTTACCATTCAAATATTTTTTTGAAGCAGTTTAATGTCTTTTTATTGAACTGGAAAAAATCTTGAACATAAATTCTCCCTTTAAAAATAATTTTATGTCCTGTTCTTTTTATTTAATATTGGTCTCATTTGAATCTTCTATGCCATTGTACTCCTGGTTCATATATGTGACATTGCATTATCCTTTCTTCAGAGACTTTCTTAGGAAAATTTTTAGATCAGAAGTTCAAATTCAGAAATTAAAATAAAAAATTACGTTGCAAGCAGAGCAAAAAGTGTAAAAAACAGCGTGTGGAATTTCTCCTCCCAAGGTTTGGGTTTGTTTTTGAGAGATATCAGAAATGGGATTAAACAAAGAAAAATTCTAAAAATATAACATTGAATGGATTTATTCTTTTTATGGAGATTTTAATTAAAATGGTCAATAAACCGTAAACAATTTTAAATCCCACATTTTATGTTTAAAACTTTTTGATTATTTTTAAGGAAACAAGTATAAGTAAAATAAAAAAAACCTCAAGTCATCTTTTTAAAAATTGTGAACAAAAGAAAAGATTGTAATTTAAAAGATTTACCATGAAAAAATTTTTTTTTTGTTCATTAGTTTGGGATTTTCCAACTAAAAGATTCAGTAAATAAAAATGTATCAAAAATATTTTTTTTCAAAGACAACTTTGGATGTCAAATGGAACACTTAAAAGAATTCCATTGATGGAGGATAATTTTCTTAAAGGACACGCTAAAATTACAAGAGATGAAAATTATTCACTTTCATATTTTTATTAAAGGAAAAAATAATATTTTCAAACAACCATCAAATTTCAGATTCTTAATAAGAATTTCCTTATTTATCCTCATAGGATAATTTCCAATGATATTAAAAAACTATTTACAAAAGATAATTTTTTTTTATATAAACAGTAATGAAAATGTGCTAAATTAAAAATTTTTTAATTGTCCATTTTCTTTTTTTTAAGTTAGAGTTACATTAAAATATTAAAAAATAATTCGATTTCAACTTAATTGCAAGTTAGAAAACCAAAGCAAAGTTACTCTTAATCGTTGAAAGGTTTAAAATATAAAATGGGAAAAAATTATCTTTTTAAATTTTTTCAGTTTCTTTTTACAAAGGACCATTATGAAATATTCATTTGATCACCAAATAAAATTGCTGAATTATGCCTTTTGACAAAGAACAACTTTTGGGGGGATTCATAAGGAGGTTTGTTAAATGGATGATATTATTGATTTAAGGAAAATGAAAAGAGAAAACATTTTTTTCAGTGGAATTGTAAATGGATAACGTGCCCATTTAAATTGGTAAGCTAAATTCTTCCTAAATATTTTTAATCCACTGTTGGTACTGTGGGTGCCATTATCCAAATGTTTGTCCAAGATGATTTAGAATTTTATTTTTATATATATAAGGATAGTAAGGAGACAAACATTGTTTTTTAGGCAAAGGATAGGAAGTTTGTGAGAGCCAAACTCATTCACCTATCCGTTAAAAATATTTTAATGAATTATAGAATTTTTATTTGTGGTTGGAATGTTATAGAGACCAACATTGCACCAACCAAAAAAAACTGTGTTTTATGCTAATGATACTATTTTATTCATTTAAATGGAAAAAAAAATTAGTTTGGATAGAGCAACAGTTAACAGGTTGCCTTAGCTTTTTTCCTGAAGATCTCAGAACCAGAATGGATTCTTTCTCTTGTATTCGTTTTTTTTCACTGAATTAAATAAATAATTTATGAAAGTCATTTAATTGTAATGAAATGTTTGTTTTTATCTAAATTCACTAATCAATGGACCAAAGCTAAAAATTTTCAGACATCATGTTTGTACTCCGTTTATTTAAATACAATGGATGGAAATATAGATTTATGTAAAACAAACAATTTTCCTAAAAAACCTGCATTTTTTTGATGGCAAAGAAAATCAAATACAAAACATGATACATTGAAAAACAAAATAAAAAATAATGATTAATATATTTTGAATAAATTTTATTTTGGATGATAAATGAAAGAGAATCTATTTCTGTTGAAGATATAATTGATAAAAATAATTTAAACACCAAATCAAAAATTTTTTTTGAGGTCTAAAATAGAGTTGAAGAATTTAGAAGTTGTTAAACCCAATCTAAAAAGGAATAAACCTCTTTATCTTCAAAATAATGGTACTATTATTTAGCATGAACCTTTTTTATGTTAATCAAGGAAATTTTTTTTGTAATGATAAAAAGACTAAAAAAAACAATTTGTGGAGGTGTTCAGTGTAATTTCAATGATGCTAACAAGGGGAATAATAATGATGGTCTTAGTTGAGGTGAGGATTTAGCATATAAAAGTTTTATAAGAGGATTATGACTTTCTAAATACTAAAATTTCTGTGTTTTAGTCATGACAGTTATAAATTAATTTTGATTCATTAAAAATTGCTCCAAAAAGCGCACCTTTGAAAAAATTTTTTGTAAAAATAGAAAATAATCCTAACAACTAATCCCTGTCTCTTGTAATTCTTAATAAATTAAACAAAATTTTCTTTTCTGGAAAGTTCTGTTCCGCCATCCATCTTCTCAAGCTCATTAACAATATTTTACCTCTTTAAACATCAATTAAATGAAGAATTATCAAAATTCAGAAGCCCTCCTTTTCATTATTTATTCTCAAAAACATCAATTTTTATTCCTGTTATTTAAATATAAGTTAATTTTTTTTGTTTCCATTTTATAGTCTAATAAATGAGCTTTTTAAATGAATAAACTTCCTATATAGTACCCCTGGGGTTTGTAAATTTTATAAGCTTCCTGAATAAAATTTTTGCAAATTCAAATTTTGTTGTCAAGTTTATAAAACCTGTTTTAATTTATTTTTTTTCTAGTGAAGGATTAGATAATGGGGTGATTTCAAATAAGTTGTAACATGCTGATAAAACAAGAAACAATGAAAGAAAAAAAATATTGTCCTTTTGCCCTCCATGTACAAGTGGCGGGAGACCTCACTATAAAAAGCAAAATGGTCATGTACCACATCCCACCTAAGTCGGAGGAAGACATATAAATCTTCTTTTTTTTTTTTTACTTTTCTCTTCTTTCTTTTCATTTTACTTTTTCTATCTTTCCTTTAATCTCTTTTTCATTCTTTCTTTCTCTCATTCCCTTTCTTCCTCTATCCTTTCTTCTACTCTTTCTTTTTCTCTTTCTAAAATTTTTCTTGGCTTTCTTTTTATTTTCTTTCCTTTTTTAGTTTTATTTTTTCTCATTTTAATCTTTCCCATTCGTAAAGAATTTTCATTTTCTTTTTTTGTTTTATGACTAGAAAAAATTTTTATTCTCAGGTATCTTTTCTCTTCATAGAAAAACACTTTTTTTTCATAGGACACTTCTAACGTTTTCTCTTTCTTTTATTTCTTTTCTCTTTCTTTTTCTCTCTCCCGCTTCTTTCTTATTTACTCTTTCTCAATCTCTTTCGTTTTCATTTTTCTTTTCTTTTTACTTTTTCTGTTTCTTTTCATCTCTTTTTCATTCTTTCTTTCTCTCACTCTCTTTCTTCTTCTGTCTTTTCTTCTACTCTTTTTTTTATTTAGCATTTTTTTTCTTTTTTCTTTCTTTTTCATTTCTTTATCTCCCTGGAAAAGTTTTTACTTTTTCTCTCTTCATTTTCCATTTTTTCTGAGAAATTTAAAATTTTCTTCATGGAACATGGTTTTTTTCTTTTCGTCCTTGACAATTGAACTTTTTTGAAAGGGAAAATTTGACTCAAGGAAAAAATGGATAAGTGTTTCCCCTGTGTTTTTCTGTTTTGATATTGTAAAATTTACTTTTTCCGTTTTCACTTTCTCTCAATTTATTTTTCTTTCTCTTTCCTTCACACTGTTTTTAAATCACCTCAGTCTCTGTGTTTAAATGGCAATTTTTTGTCTAACTCTTTTCACCTTTGCATGGCTCTTTTTCTTTCTTTTTCGTTTTCTCTCCTATTTTAATTACATCTTCCAAACTTTTTTTTTTTCATTTTCTCTTTCTTTCTATCTTGGTCGCTAGTAGGTGAAGACTTGTTAAAGGTTTATACACGTGTTTGTTGGAGTTACCGATGAAAGTTGTCACTGAAAGAAATTCTTGAAGAAATTTGAAATGTATAAACAATTGGTGAAAAATAAACATGAGTACAAACATTTATGTTTCACATGAGGAATCATTTTTTTGTGCTTTTGTAAAGAAAATAATGTTTAAAAAAAACACCGACTCGTTCTAATCGAAATCTAGCCAACTTTAATCATTTGATAAATCTTTTCTCTCTTTTAATTGTTTTTTTTTTTGTTCAACTATGGGTCACTTTGATTTTTTGACTTTATCACAAGTGTCACTGAGGGTAAAAGTCTCTCTCTCTGATCTTTCCACTTTTTGGACACTACTGGACAATAATCAGAAAAAAGTGTACCGAAAACAAAAAATACCTGCAGGTAAGAAAATAATTCAAAATTTCAAAATACTTAAACTTTTTTTTTTTTCTTCACCTAAAACAAAAATATATTTTACAAGTGCCTAAATGTAATGATTAAATCGAAAATATCGTTTTTTTTATTCAAGATTTATGTAAAAAAAATATTTTCAAATAAATTGTCTCAGAAATATCTATAATGAATTTTCTTTTCTGAATATTAATTAGTGATTGTTGTCAACAAACCAAAAAGGTTTTTATCTTTATTTTTTTTATTTAAATTACATTACAAACTGTAATGTTAAATTTTAAAAATATTTGTTTCTTAATAAGAACTATTTCATTAATTAAAATACTTTTGTTCTTAAAGACGTTTTTGAGGCCCGCATTTTGGGTGATCAGGAAAAGTTATGAAAGGTACGTTGGGATTTTTCAGCGCGCTCACGTTGCTACCGAATATGACACAAGTTAGAAGTCTAACGTGGGAAAATTCTCAAGTCCCCTATTAGTACTTCATCAAAGTTTTGTTAAGGGAAGAAAAAAGACATAGAAAATTAGTTAGTTATTAATATTGTATCTTTTATTGCAGATAAACTACTTTTTTTTGGTATAGTAATGAGATAAAAAGTAATATTTTAAACTTTAAAATATCACTAAGTGAAAGTAAATATGACTTTTATTAAATCAATTAAAATTCAAATCTTAACATTGAAATTCGTTTTTTTTTGTATATTCCTTATTGAGCTGGTTACTGGTTACTTATCTCGCAGTGCAAATTAATTATAATATTGTTGTTATCGCTATTAATATTGCTTTAAATTAAATTACTTAATAAATATTCAATTATTATTAAGATTTTTCATTTTATTAAATTAAAAAGTCATCTTTAGTAATGAAGTATTTTTAAATAAATTAATTATTAAAATATCTATTTTATTTAAAGAATTATATACTACCCACCCCACCATATATACTCGCGTATAGTGCGCGTTTTTCTAATCAAATTTTTACCCAAAGGTGGTTGCACTACACAGGTAATTTTTTTCTGGAGACGTTCATGCAGAAAATTTAGTGGTCGCACTATACATGAAGTCGACTTATACACGAGTATATACGATTTGGTGGCATAGTAATTGTGAGTTCAATCCCTGCGGCGAGTAGTACAAACTTCGTGAAAATAAGCCGCACAATAACTGAGCAGTTAAAAAAAAAATAAAAAATAGACGAATTATCCCTATGAACAGTAGAGTGCCCTCCCATAGATTAAATAAAAAAAGGTTCAGTTCGTAATTCCCTAGGTTACCCGGATAAACAGACACCTGAAGAAGGCCGAAGTGCACAACGGCCGAAACGTTGTAATAATAACAAAAATTAGGACAGGAATGCAGATAATAGAAATATTCTTCTTTTGCTATATATACTTTCAGGCATTAGGCGATTGTGGCTCTCCACGATTTCCTGTCCTATTTTAAATGAAAAGAAAAGCATTATTTCCTCGGATTCATTTCTGACTTACAAGACAAAAGTTGTGGCATTTTCTCTACATTTTTTTTTTACTTATCTATTTATTTTAAGAATGATTTATTTATTTATTTATTAATTCATTTTTTGACGGCAATCATTATACCTCGCGCTCACCACCTTCATTCATAAATTTGAACGTCTTCATTCATGAATTCGATCACATGACTACGTCACTCTCCGACCAGAAAAAAAAGAAGAAAAAGAGAAGATAAAAGAAAAAAAATCCATTAGCCAGGTACGGCACCATAATAATATCTCATTAAAAGATATTTAAAAAAAAAGCAAAAAAAAAAGCGAAGTCTAAAAATCATTTTAAGAAATGACAAAAAAAACTTTCTTGAAGCTTTTAATTTGGTTTTTCCAAGCTAATACGTTTTAAATTTAAGATTCCCAATAAGTAAAATACTTTGGTGCATTTCAAACCGAATTTAAATTGATTGGACTCTTTTTTTTTTTTTTTTCTTCTGCTTATCAGTAAAAAAAAAATCTATAAATTCTTCGGTGTTGACAAATCTGTCAGCACAACATAATTCTCTTTATTGAAAAAATCTTTTTTATTTTATGTACTTTTCTGAAACGTTATTTAAGGAGAATTAGCTGATTTAAAAAGTTTAATTAATCCTCTTAATTGAAACAAATTACATTTATTTAAAATAAAAGCATCGGAAGAACGTTTTTTTGACATGGTGAGTACTCAGTAATGTATTGTATTGACAGCCTGATGTTTGGAAAATTTAAATAAAGAGTACATAATAGAAATAAAATTAGATCACGAATACAATGTGAACGCTTTTTATATTTTTTAAAAACTAACCAATAATGTTTAAAAAATATTTTAAAGTATTCTAATAATTTATTGAATGTAAAACTTTGACTTTATAAACGAAGACGCTTGTTGAAGAAATGTTAGGAAATCTTATTAGGTACTAATTTTCTATAGCTATCTCTCTTATTTTCTGATAATGTCGTGTATGGTCGTCTGTCTTTTACAAAAATCGACACGTTTATACACACAAACAATTCTAAATACTCTTAAAAATATATTCAATTGTAGCGAGCTTTTCTATTTATAATTAGTTGCTGATTGATTCATTAAGGCTTATTAACGCTTTACAGGTTATTTTTAAAGTAAGAAAATATATCTAGATTGTAAGATTTTTTTGGTTTTAGTGATACAAGTCTTACTAATTAACCCATAGTTGAGGGGAGGAGTGGTGAATTCATATCTAATCAGAATTTGCTAAACAAACAAGGAATTATAATGATGATATAAAGTGAGGGATCAATTCTATATTGTAATCAGTATGTAAACTGATCCCTCACTTTGTGATCATGGTAGTTTCTATATATTTATATTCCAAATAAAAATGTCTTAAAATAATTGTCGGACTTTGTCCATTTCATAATATGTGACGTCACTCCAGAGAATGTAAATAAATCTAAAAGACATATCTGTCTATCTAATCAGTATTTGATTGATTGATTGATTGATTGTTTCGTTTTCTATGGCTTATCAACACTTTGCAGGTTATTACCCCATAGCTGGATGAAAAGGTGGATTTATACCTAATCAATTTAATAAACGAAAAAATTATAATGTGGATATAAAGTGGGGATCAATTCTATATTACAATCAGTATATAAACTGGTCCCTCATTTTCTGGCTATGGTAGCTTCAATACATTTCTATTCTAGAGAATGTAACTAAATCTAAAAGACATGCCTGTGTAGCTAAGCAGTATTTGATTGGGTCATTCATTTTCTATGGCTTGTTAAACCATGGCAGGTTATTTTAAGCAAGAAAATATTTTTCGATTAGTCGGAAAGCAAATTGAGTTTAACGAATTCATTTAATTTAGCTGGCTAAGTGTTCGTACACGATAGGGCACACGGTGAGGAACAAACGCACTCGCTAAACAAGTGTGCTAACGAAGCGTTTTTATCTTAACGGACGAGTTACATTCTTGAGTTCCACCAGCTAAAATATTAGGACCGACATACCATGTTCATGGTGGCAGCCCCTCTCCATCCTCTTCGTGTTCCTTTGATAAAACGCGAGTTGCACTCAGACAATTTTCCCCAGAACTATTACTTTGTGAAACGAACTCCCGAGAGGGTGCTTCCCTGACAATTACAATCTTGTTAAGTTCAGGGTTAACAGATATCTGTATTATTCGTCCTCATATTCTTACTTCCCCTCACTTACAATCTCAGTCAATAAGCCTCTATATTGTGAGGCCCTTGGGCCTTGTATTGGGTGAACTATCAGTAAAAAAAAGAAAAGTTGAAATAGGTTTTCGATTGCGTGTGTGTATTCAGGCGTCAAATATGATTGAAGAAGAACCTTAAATTC